GTTTCTCATCCTGAATACTGGGAGACAGATCTCTTCATGCTTCCAGCAGGGGGAGAAGACAAAGAATCATTTTGAAATATGCCAGAGCATTCTGTTCTTAACAAGGCCTGCCCACAAGAGAAACTATTTACCACAGCTAATCTATTGGGAGTTTATCAGAGCCTAAGCAACCTGGGGAAAGGAAAATACTCAACTCCAGCCTGCCCCTAGCCTTCTACATGGAGGAAGGGAAATACTTTTTAATCACCTCTGGCCACCCTGTCCCACCTCTGTGGGAGAGAAACTGAGAAGCATTTGTGAAGCTGACAGCCCAGGGACACAGACCTATCATATGACTATGGCTTCCCCCTTCCTCTTCATATATGTCTTAAAATCCCTTCCCCATCTAGAACTGATCACCACATCACTAAAGGCCTATTTACTGGAGTTCCCTTTACCCAGCACATCATACCTAGTGCTGAAGAAAAACTTACAAGGCATGCTAAAAGGCAAAAACATAGTTTGAAGAGACAAAGCAAGCATCAAAACAGACTCAGATATGGCAAGGATGTTGGGATTATCATACCACGAATTTAAAACAACTATAATTAATGTGTTAAAAGCTCTACTGGAAAAAGTAGACAACATGGAAGGACAAATGAATAATGTAAACAGAGAGATGAAAATTCTCATAAAAAATCATAAAGAATTACTGGAGATCAAAAACACTGTAACGGAAATGAAGAATGGCGCTGATGGCTGGGCACAGCTGATGCAAGAATCTTTGAGCTTGAGGATAAGACAGGAGAAACTTCCAAATGGAAAAGCAAAGATTAAAAAAAAATAATAATAAAACCTGAAAAAAATCAGAACAGAGTATCCAAGAAATGTTGGGCAACTACCAAAAGTGTACACACGCATGTGATGGGAATACCAGAATGAGAAGAAAGAGACAGGAATAAAAGAATTATTTGAAGTGATAATGACTGAGAATTTCCTCAAATTAATGTCAGACACCAAAACACAGCTCTAGGAAGCTCAGAGAACACCAAGCAGGATAAATAACAAAAATAAACAAACAAACAGAAAACATAAAAACAAAAACTATACTTAGATATAGCACATTCAAACTGTAGAAAATTAATGATTTTTTAAAAAAACTCTTGGAAGAAGACAGAGGGGGGAAAAACAGCTTTAGAGAAACAAAGATGAGAATTCTATCCAACTTCTCATAAACCATGCAAGCAAGAAGAGAGTGGAATGAAATATCTGAAGTGCTAAGAGGGAAAAAAAAAAAGGCCAATCTAGACTTCTATACTCTGTGAAAATAATCTTCCAAAAGTGAAGGAGAAATAAAGACTTTCCCAGACAACAAAAATTGAGGCAATATGTTGCCAGTAGACCTGCCTTGCAAGATCTATTAAAAGAAGCTCTTCAGAGAAAAGGAAAATGATACAGGGCAGAAACTCAGATCTCCAGAGTGACAGTAAGAACATCAGAGAAGGAATAAGTGACGGTAAAATGACAACTCTAGTTTTCTTATCTTAATTATCTTAATCCATCTAATAGATAACAGTTTGTTCAAAATAATAATAGCAACAACGTATTCGATTATGTATGCTTATATATATGTTTATGTACACACATATATGTGAAATGAATGACAGTGATGATATAAGGAATGGGAGGGAAGAATTCTTAATATTTTGTTATAAGATACACTGTGAAGAGGGCTAGTGCTATTTTAAATTAGACTTGGATTAGTTGTAAATACATATTGCAAACTCTAAGGCAATCACTGAAACTAAGGGAAAAAATAGGAGAGAAAAATGGAATCATGTAAAATGCTCAATGAAAGCTATGGAAAGCAGAAAAAAAGTGCGGAAGACAAAAATAAGAAAGGAACAAGGGCAAGGAATAGAAAAGAGTAACAAATATGGTAAATATCAATACAGTTATATTAATAACCACTTTAAATGGCAATGGTCTAAATACACCAATTAAAAGACAGAGATTGTCAGAACAGATCAAAAAACAAGACCCAACTGACTGTATGTTATCTACAAGAAATCTGCTTCCAAAACAGAAAGCACTGAGCCCAGATGGGTTCACTGGTGAAATCTACCAAACATTTAAGGAACAAACCATACTAATTCTCTACAATCTCCTTCAAAATATAGACACAAAGGGAATACTTCCTAACTCATTCTATGAAGCCAACATTACCCTAACAACAAAACCAGACAAGGACATTACAAGACAATAACAAACCAATATCTCTTATGAATATAGATGCAAAAATCAACAAAATATTAGCAAATTAAATCCAACAATGTATAAAAAGAATTATATACCATGACCAAGCAGGATTTATCTTAGGTATGCAATGCTGGTTCAACATGTGAAAATCAATTAATATAATCCACTTGACAAAATCCAACTCATTCATGATAAAAACTCTCAGCAAACTAGGAACAGAAGGAAAACTTCTTTAGCTTCATAAAGAACATCTACAAAAACCCTAAAGCTAACTTCATACTTAATGGTGAGAAACTAGAAGCTTTCCTACTAAGATCAGAAATATGGCAAGGATGTGTACCACTTTCCAACATCATACTAGAAGTCCCAGCTAATGCAATAAGACAAGGAAACAAAAAGTATAATATAGATTAAGAAGGAAGATGTTTGCAGATGATATGACTGTCTATGTAGAAAACCTAAAAGAATCAAAAACTCCTAGAACTAATAAGTAATTACAACAAGGTTGCAGGATACAGGGTTAATATACAAAAGTCAATTGCTTTCTTATGTATGAACAATGAACAAGGGGAATTTGAAATTAAAAACACAATACCATTTACTTTAGTGCCCCTCAAGTGTGGTATAAATCTAACAAAATAGGCACAAAATTTATATGAGCAGAACTCTAAAACTGAGGATAAAAATAAAAAGAACTTTAAATAAATGGAGAGATATTCCATGTTCACGGGTAGGAAGCCTCAATACTGTCAAGATGTCCATTCTTACCAACTTGATCTATAAATTTGACACAATCTAAACAAAAAGCCCAGAAAGTTATTCTGTGGGTATCAACAGATTCTGAAGTATATAAAAGGCAACAAACAAACAAACAAACAAACAGAATAACCAACACAACATTAAAGAGAAAGAACAAAGTTGGAGCCCAGAAGTGGACCCACATAAATATAGTCAACTGATCTTTGACAAAGGATAGTCTTTCCAACAAATGGTGCTGGAACAACTGGACAACCACATGCAAACAAGGAATAAATAAATCAATCTAGACACAAAACTTACACTGGACAACCACAAGCAAGCAATAAATAAATAAACAAATAAATAAATCTAGACACAAAACTTATACCCTTCTCAAAAATTAGCTCAAAATGGATCACAGACCTGAATATAAAACCAAATTATTATAAGACTCCTGAAACATAATATAGGAAAAAAACCTAGATGATCTCTGGTATGGTGATGACTTTTTAGATAAAACATCAAAGGTGTGATCCATGAAAGAATTGATAAAGCTAAACCTCATTCAAATTTCTGTTTTAGGTAAGACACTGTAAAGAAAATGAGAAGACAAGCCAAAGATTGAGAAAAAATATTTGCAGACGACATATCTGATGGAGGACTGTTAACCAAAATATATAAAGAGTGCTTAAAATTCAAAAGAAAATTAGCAATCCACTTAAAAAAATGGGTGAAAGACCTGAACAGATGCCTCCCCAAAGGAGATAAACAGAGGTAAATGAGTATACCAAAAGAACTCAGTATCATATACCATTAGGAAAATGAAAATTTAAACAATGAGATTCTACTTCCCACCTGTTGTAATAGCTCAAATTAAAAACACTGACAACATCAAATGCTGCTGAAGATGTGGAGCAAGAGGAACTCTCATTCACTGCTGGTGGGAATGCAAAATGGTACAGCCACTTTGGAAGACAGTTTGGTAGTTTCTCAACAACACTACACATAGTCTTACTTTATGATCCAGCAGTCTTACTCCTCAGTACTTACCCAGCTGACCTGAAAACGTACAGCTACACAAAAACCTGCACACAGCTCTTTATAGCAGTTCTATTCACAACTGCCACAGCTTAGAAGGAACCAAGATGTCCTTCAGTAGGTGAATGGATAAACTGTGGTCCATTCAGACAACAAAATACTATTCAGTGATAAGAACAAACACACCAACAAGCCACGAAAAGACATGGAGGAACCTTCATTACACATTACTAAGTGAGACAAGCCGATCTGAAAAGGCAACATACAGTAGTATGAGTCTAACTGTATGACATTCTGGAAAAGGCAAAACTACGGAGACAGTTAAAGGATCTGTGGTTGTCAGGGATTGGGTGGAGGGAGGAATGAAGAGTCGGAACACAGAGGATGTTTAGGGCAGTGAAACTACACTGTAGGATACTGTAATGGTGGATTCATGTCCCTGTACGTTTGTTAAAACCCACTGAATGTGCACCACCAAGCGTGAATCCTAATATGAACTATGGACTCGGGGTGGCTGTAATGTGTCAATGTTGGTACCCTGATTGTAGCAGTGGACTACTCTGGTGGGATATGTTGACACTGGGGGAGGTGCACACGTGTAGGGGCAGGAGGTATATGGGAATCTCTGTCCTTTATACACAATTTTGCTGTGAACCTAAAACTGCTCTAAAAACTAGTCTTTCAAAAAAATTTGGGAACCGATATACTATCTTGTGTTTTCTATTTTATTCTGTTTTTTTTCTTGCAACAAATTTTGGTCATCTCCTAGTAAACTTATTTCACCACCCACTAATGGGCTTGAAGGAAGTCCCCAAAACATTGCTACAGGGCAGTGTCTCCAGCAGCCCTATGAAATCCGTTCTCTATCCCTCAGGCTCCATAGGCCACATTCAGCTCATTCAGTTTCTGAGCAAGAGGACTTCCCAGCCACTAGCCACCAGCCACCAGCCCAAGGCTGGATGGGTCCCCAGGGGCTGCTGCAGTACCTGGAGGAAGGGTCTCCATGCTTTGTGCTTTCTCATCCCCGTTGCTGTGATGAAGGTCTTTCTTTTTAATTGGGTCAATTTCATTCCAGTCCTCCTAAGGGGAACAAAGACACCAAATGAGTTGATCAGTTTTTCAAGCACACCTGCATTCACCAGTTCAATAAACACTAAGTGTTAGGATGCCAGTGAGCCCCGGGGATGCAAATGATGAGAGAGAGAATGCCCAGCTCCAGGACCTGCATCCCAGGACTTCTCAGACAGTGGAGAGGTGAGGGGAGAAAAGCGTGGGAGTGGGAAGGAAGATTTCCGCTTCCCTCTTCATTTTATATTTGCACTGCATATCCATGGGAAGGAAATACTCCGGAAATTCCCAGGGCTCTGTGGATCTTCGAAGGTAGGGAAGGGAGATGGGGAAAGTAGATTAAATAAAATAATTCAATAGTGGTTAAATTAAAGCCATTAAAATCACGGTAGCTCTCCAGACATCTTAGATGGTTTAAGGACACCCTAGGACCCAATTCTCCCTCCAGGCCCCTTGGAGCCCTCCTCTGAGATTGCTAAATGATTTAATTCCACTGAATAACAGTGGAGGGAGAAAGGACCAGCCAAACTTTTCCTAGGGCTTACTCTATTAAGACTGCCAATGGAACAGAGCTGTAAATTAAGGGTTTAATGTGAAACCAGAATAAGATATAGGCTCTGGCAGAATTTATTCAGCTCATCTGCACAAACAATTTACTCTAATCCATCAACATTAAATCAAACTAAAAAACATCTCCATGACCACAGAGCTAAATATACTTTTCAACCACTTGGAATCTGATTTCTGCGAATCAAGGAAGAAAGGCTTCTGTATATAACCCAGATCAGAAATGTCCCATGGCTAGTCATTTCCTACACAGACTTCTGTGAGCCAAGCAGATGCTGTCGGGATGATCTGCAGCATTAAGCCCTCCCTCGGGGGCGACCCGACCAGTTCCGCACAGGTCTGTCCAGCTAGCATTCCTCTGGACCAGCATGGGCTGTGTATTGTGCAAAAGCTGACCACTGGAGACATTTTGGCTCTTCAAAATGTAAAGTGAGCTCTGTAAGGAGGGCTATCCTCAGGGGCTGGGCCAAATCAGACATTTTTCCCAAATGCAACTTGCTTTGCCAATAATCTGCATTTTTACTCAAACGGTACAGGAATTAAAGAGAAACCATGCCTAAGCTTCCTCCGTCTTGAGACCAGCTTTTCCTTCAGCTGCTTCCTCAGTGACGCAGCTGGGTTGGTCTCCATGGAAATGATGGGTGGGGGCACCCAGGAGGATGACCCCACTGCAGAACGAGCGGCTGGTGAGGAACCCTCCTGTGTCCTGGCAGTCCTAGCCCCACCCAGCTGTCACAAGGCCTTAGTCCTTCAAGTGCCCCAAGTGCTGGGATTTTGAAGATTTTATCCCGCATTTTAACAAACATACCAAAATGTATCTGTGTCCCAATTCAAGTATTTTTTACTGCAAAATTTTTTTTCAAAGGTGTTTATAACTTGGCTTTTGAGATTATTTGGTTAAAAATAAACTTTCAATTTACTCTTGGCAATGATTTCGCAGCAAGCTTGGCAAATGCACGGGAGAGAGAGAATCTAACCTACTGCCTTTACAGTATATGGAAAAATGTGAATACTAATTCAGTAAGTAACGAAGTAACCAGAGTCACGCTGTGCAGACTTTTAATTAAGCATTATTAATTCTTATTTTGCAGCTTGCTTGTAGCATTTTGTGGCTAATAACTTTTTCTCCCACAGGTATTACACTGGCTAATGGATCAAACCATTTAACCTTGTACTTGAACAAAATCAAAAGTGAAAGTTGCTGGTGGGGCCGGTGCCTTACTTTCTACGTGTAAGAACCAAGGCATTAGCTGTACCGTCGACAAAATCAACAGTGAGGCAGGTCACCCATCCATGTTTTCTTGCAAAATAAATGCTTCCTTCTCCCCACAGGCAAGACTGACTAGTCCATAACCAACATTCCTTAACCTCCCTACCCCCTGCCAATCCACCACGCCCACCACAAAACTAAAGCTGGAGCCCAGAACATGCTGAATGGCTAAGTCCCAAGCAGGTGAAATGACGCTAAGTGTCATTTACGAATGCCTACTCTGCACCACCTGTTCTCATCCCTGCCACGTCCACCCTGGCTGTTTATAATTCCTATTTCACAATGGGGATGTGGAAGATCAGCGAGCCTAAGAGGTTTGCCCACACAGGTCATACAGTGAAGTAAGAAGCTAAAGGTGGCTTCTTCTCAATCAGGACGCAGTTTAAACCAAGTTACAAGAGCCCGAGTCTCACAATATCATAAAAATCCAAGGATACGTTTCTAAGAGGTCATTCGCAAAGGACTCTTTTATTCTGGACTCCCGAGTCAAAAACTGCAAATTACCATGGTAACTACCTGCTCCTAGAGTAAAGTGAGGAGCAGGAGGAAGAAAAGGAGGAACTGCTGAGGCCGCTAGCAGAGCGCTTAGGAGGTGCCGAGCCCCATTCTAGACATTGCACACACAGTGATCTTCCTTACGGTCCTTACGGTGCTCTTATTAGCCCCATTTTACAGATGAGGAAGTTGAGGCACTGAGAGCTTACGTAGCACAAAGGACACAACAAGGCTAGATTCGAACCTCGGGGGATTTAGTATTGATTCTGTGGTCTCAACCATTCTCCTGTACTGCCTTTAAATAAAATATCTTCGCCCTCTACCAACTAGATAAACACAAGTGAAGCAAAACAATGTATTAACCATTCATCTCAGGATACGTCTGATCACTGTGAGTTCCTGATCGTTCAGGATCACTGATTGGATTCACTGGCTGAGACAGCCACTGCCCGTGTACGACCCACCACCTGTCAACCCCTTACCCTTCCAGACACTTGTCATGTCCCACTCTCTTCCCGTAACCCTGACCCATGGCCTTTGCTGGACTGAAGAAGGTCCCCAGAGACATGGTGGGGACCAGGCAGCTGCACCTTGGCCGAGCGTGCCCAATGGGGTGCAGACAAACATCCAACAATGATGGCACAGTGTCACACACCCTGAAGACTGTGGGGGCAGGACACTCTGGCAGGAGTGTCGAGAAGGCTCTGAGAAGCCTGTGCACAAGAAGTGGCACCTTGGCAGAGATCTGAGGGGGTCAAGAATTGACCTGGCAAGATGAAATGATGGGAGTAGGGAGATGAAGTTTGTGTTGGAGGGAAGAGCATGAAAGACAGAAAACAGACATGGAAGCAGCAAGATACTGAGACTTGAGACCTGTTTTCCAGAAACATCGCTTTGTCTGTAGCGCAGGGAGCAGATGGAGGGGACAGAAGAGAGGCCAGGGGGCCATGAGGGCAATGAAACAAGGGATTGTGGTGAGCTGGCTCAAATCCGGATCCTGGAGATGCAGAGAGGAGGTCGGCATAGCCATGGGGCAGTGACTGGAAGGGGAGAGCAAGAAGGAAGGAAGGAATCACAGCTGCAGGTTTCCTACCCGGACGTTTCAGCCAGGAGAGGCACTCAGCACTCAGGAACATGAGAAAGTGGTGTGGGTGGGGTAAGGAGGGCCCCGGGAAATAGAGATGAGTCTGTTTGGGAAATGTTGGGGTTACAGAGAGATACCAAACACAGAACACACACGGCTGTAGCTCTGGAAAGGCAGGAGACAATAGAAGCTGCCAGCTAGCATGTGAGAGCATCCAGGGAGGGTGTGAGCTGAGTGAAAATGGGCCCTGCGGCAGGGGGGGGATGCTAACACTCTAGGGGCAGGCAGGACACACAGCACGTTGAGAAGAGCTGTGGCCCAGGAGCTGGAGCCTCGGGTTCAAGCCATGGGGGTCTGAGGACACCACCAGCCTCTATCCACTGGGCCACTGGGCTGAAGGTCGCACGGCCTGAGCATTCCTGGGGACCAGGTAGACCCAGCACTTTCTTATACTTTCTACCTATTTCATGTACGTTTGGTATCCAAAAGCACTTGAGGTCCTTGGAGGGCAGGAGGGCCTTGTCACATTTCATGCATATCCCCACGGGGCACCAAGTGTGGTGCCGGTTGTATGTTGGTTGCATAATAATAAATAGAGTTGAAAAAAAAAAACCCACGCTACTTACTCAGATTGATTTGACTGGCTTCACCCACTCTGCAGCGGAAGCATTTCATTACAACCACCCCCCCGCCATACATCTACATACATTATGAGACTTATTTACACCAGTGGCTCGTTTCACAGGGGAAACGCGTGGAATGTAAATATGTGGAGAAGCCGCTCGTGCCCATGACCCACTGACAGCCAGGATGTGCTACCAGCTGACCTATTTGTCTGCTCCCTGTTAAGAGAAAATGATGCAGTGACAGACAGGTCCTCTTTTTAGTGACAAGGAGAAACTGCTGAGATTAGAGGAGTAATGATGTGGTTTGATGCTGGGTCAGAAGTTGCAGAGAATCCAAAGCCCGTGATCTGGTAAGCCTGCTTTTCTTCCCCAGGCTGCAGCCCCATCTCTGCGTTGGCTCTCCCACCCTCCGCCCTCCGAGGAGGGCTGTCGACACCGATGCATAATGACTAACCCACAGACAGCCCATGCTGCTGACCAATGTGGACAAGGGCGGGCTCAGTGGTTCTGGCCCAACACTGGACTCTGTCAGGGAAGTTTAAGCAGAGGTCTGCCAACCACATCACCAATCGTGGAGCAGGGAGGATGCTGTTGCCCAGCTCGACTTTCCCATTTTGACCACACTGCAGGAAAGACCCGGAGAGCCCCATATGGCACGAGACAGTCTCGCCTCTGTTAAACAGTGTTTGAGCCACATAATGCAAACTCAATTTCCTGTCCTTCTCCTTACTAACTGACCTGAGCTCTCAGCTGCTATTATTCGTATTTGAATTGGGTGAGTTTCCATGGAGTCTTTAGAAGCTCTAGATATGCCCTTCACCCACATTGTTCTTACAAATGTGTACAACAGAAGCAGTCTATTACCTGGAGCACAAATGGCATTAAATCAGGCCGGGAGAGAGATCAGATGGAAATAAAGGACTAAGTGATATTTATTTATCTACTGTAATTAGAGAGTACAATAGCCAAA